CCCCAAAACCCCAAAACCCCAAAACCCCTCTTTTAGTAGAGTTCATTGACACCCTTAAAATTTAAACTGGAATATTATTAAAAGTGCATTCAGATATGAATCCAAAAAGTGTTAGAATACTAATTTAATATACTCAACTTCTTATCCAGCTTAATTATCTCTTCACTTGTTGGTCATTCTGTCTGTGCTTGTCTACAAGTTAGTCTTAGGTCTTACCAATCATGTTGATGATTGCATTCTTCTTATGGTGCAGAGATATTTTTGATCTATGTGTCAGCAGAACGTCTTACTTATCTGGCAGCATCGCATCGAAAGTTGCATAGAAGTCTTTCTGCTCCATCAAGATAGGTTTTGCTATACATTAAAAATATTAAGAATACTGTTTAAATTTCTAGAAAGACTCTGCTTCAAACTAAAATTTGATTCTCTACAAGTTCAAGCATAACGCTTACTTTTTGGAGAGGTATGAGCATCAAGCCAACACTTTGAGTTTGTGAGTCTTGTTGTTCTGTGTGGTCTGTCTCTTCAAAAGCTTGATATCTGGCTTTTGGTTGTATAAAAAAGGAGTCCCTAAAAATAAACCACAATCCTAATTACTTTGTTCCAAACTTGGACAGCTCAGAGACCGCAACAACCCTTGAGTAAAAGTGCTCCTCGATGGGGTTGAGGTTACAAGCAACTCATCGTGGGCAATCACTGAATTCCTCCGCTGCTTCATTTGGTTGGCAGTCTTGGCTATTGGAATATTACCATTTGATGCTTCAATTCCGCTGAATGTAGTTCCATTCTTCAGGCGATATTTAAGCTCATTGACTTTCTTTGCAAGCAAAGGATTACTCTTCTGGGCTAGCAGACTGTTCAAATTGCCTTTAGCATATCACTTGAACCTCATGTTTGTTTTCTATTGATGATTAACATTATGCTCAGAATTTGTGAAAATAGAGCAGAAATATCATAAGAGGGTATCTTACAGGTTCGACATCTTCCTCAGGTTCGTCAAATTTGTGTTTGACTTGTCTAAGCTGGGACCTCAAGTCTTTACATTTGTAATTGATTCTCTCATCTGATGGTAAGAAGCTGCTGAAATCCGGGACGTCATAATATCCTAAATTTCTAAATAAGTTATCCTGGCAGAGATACCTTCTTTTAAGCTTGTTTTCTTTGTCTGCAAATCAGAATGTGCGTGCATTCATAGTTAAGTAAGCTGCAGAGTTTCTTGACATTTTTATAGCAAATTATGGGATTTTTCAATATTTTCATGTTAAATAGGGGTTTTGGGGTTTTGGGGTTTTGGGGTTTTGGGG